TAAAAAATCTTACCAATTTCTTTATACCACCATGCTGTCTGACTGTTCGTCTCGCCCGACGGAATTTAGCTACATTCGCAATGGTCTCTGCAGCCAAACATTTCAGGTCCTTGCTGGACGACTTGAGAATGTCCACCATTGTTTGCAGTCCACCAAGATCAGCAATGGCCTTGCGAATCTGAGTGTTCTTGGAGATCTCCTTCAAAATCTTTAAGGAACCAATCTGTAAATCCAGACCGAAATGAAGGTTTTATGCATCTGTGAAAAAGTGGTCACTGGGTCGCAACCAATTGTTGAATCCTCTAACTGGATGGTCAACCTAAATGTTTACAGAAAACTGTACAAGGCTAATATTCTGATTCTCAAATTTTTTAGCTCGAAAAGTGGCCTTTCAAAACATCACATAAGAAAACTGACCGACAGTATCTAGAGGAAGCTTTATTACTCAGAATGTACGTCATAAATATCACATTAGTTTTGTCCATACTATTTCCAGCACTAATGCTGTGCACTATTCAATGTTTTTCAAATAATGTTCAATGATCACTGATAATGTTAAAGATACTCTTGTTTATTCACTCACTCTTGTTGTAGGATCCCAAAATTTGAAATAATGAATAGATGGATGGAATGGAAATTTAAAATGCATAATTTGTATCCATATTTGGTTTTTAAATGATGACTTTTAGAGGATTGGAGAATCACTCAAGAGTATTATTCAGTTCACTTTTTGAATATTCCCCTTCTACCTCCTAAATTCCTTTTCGATAATTGTTTTCGGATTTGTGATTGAAAGACAAAATAAATGAAATGAAATTATAAAAATATCTGCTTTAAAAATATGAAATATTAGCATCATAATAAAAAATGTTTCCTTTACCTTGTTATTACAAATTGTTTCTATATTAATAACAATTTCTAGGGATTAGTAATGCAAAATATTCATTTGATAGAATAGGCCTTCCAAAGTTGTTTAATACAACATGTTTCTTATACTATTACATGCCTTCTAAGGCTTTTTCAATAAGATTTATTCCTTACAACAAAATGTGCTTTCTAAAGCTTTACAATATAAACTGTTCCTTATAATAAAAATGTGCCTGCAAGCAATTTTCAATACAAATTATTCCTTAATACAATGCGAATTCCAGAGCCTTTCTCTGCAAATTGTTTCTGAACTTGTAACTCAACATTCTTAAACCTTTCATTATGACTTTCCAAAGACGGTTTATATCGATTACATTAAAGTCCAAACCAATATTAGCAACATAATAAAACATTAAAAAGTAATGAGAAAATTATCTGCGAGATTACAACAGCACCATAAATTGACTGCAATATTATGCTGAAGCACGTGCGACCTCCAACACACAAAATAAGACTGAATAATCAGCAAGGCATCCAGCAAAGATTTTGTTTCTTAAATTTAAGTAAGAGCCTTGAAAAATAGATGAAAATACATCACATTAAATACATTCAATTGATAGTCATAGGCATATTTTTTTTAAGAGAATAAACAAAATAAAAATAGGATTTTAAGTTTTAATCTTGTATTTTAATATTTAAGGAATCACATCCCAAAACCACAGCTATATGTTAAACTGAGTAATTAGCATAGAATGTGGCAGTATTGTATACCTTACAGGGATGTAGGTAAGGTGGGCAGAAGTGGGCAAGTCCACCCAGCCTTGAAGTTTTCTAACCAGTCTAAAGCTAATTTCATCGCCCTCCACCCACCCTTTTAAACCACTTTTCCATCCTAAAAAACCACACCATAATAATTTTTACTCATAACTTTGGCAATAAGTCGATTCCAGTAAATGACCCATCATTTTGAAGCTGATAATGTGGAAAACATGAATTTATTAAAAGGTCAATTTTCATTTTTTTTTTTGTTTTGTTTACTGATGCTAGTTTTGGGATGGAAAGCCCCATTTTAGGTGTGTTTATAAGGTTAAGAAAAGTGCATGACCATACCCACCGGCAGTTGGAGGCATAGAGCAATTCCCTGGCGGCATTTTTAGACGTAATGTTTAAAAAAATTTTTTCTTTTTTGTTTTTTTCTTCTCCCCAACTACATACAGTGTACTAAAGGCATTTTACACTTAGAAAGGGGAAAAAACTGAGGATTGTAAAATGTTTAAGTATAAACTGGTGTCGTTAGGGACTTACCATACATTTGATCTCTCCGGTTTCTAACAAGTTGATAAGAACCTCTAATCCGCCGACATCCCTGATAGCTAGTTGGCAAGTTTCCTGGCCTAGGTTGAAGTCGCGCATAGCACAGAGAGCAATAATCGTAGCTGTCTGATTGCCTCCCTAAAGTAGAATTATTTAGCCTTGATTAAGAAAATGTGATGAGAGAATAAGGCTATACTCTTCAGTCAAATGATAGATTATCTCCACTGGCTAGGCACAATTATGAATGAAATAAATTTAATATAAACAAACAATCAGATGAATCAAATAAAGTTATGTAAGGGATGAATGTTTCTTCATATGGCCAAGTAGATCTGATATGCCATTTTTAATTTAAATATAAACAAAATGGATTTCCAAATAAATTGCAACCAAATGTATGTATATATATCTTTAAAATTAAATCTCCTCTAACATACAGTATTTTTTCATCAACAATATTTCTGCCAATTATTCAACTATAATTTGCAATTATATTATTCTTAAAGTCTTTTATTTTACTTTTATATATTTTAAAGATAATTTATTTTAATTATATTCAAATTACGAGCATTTACCCCTTGTGTACCTCATCCTTTCGCATCTCTTACTTTCTGACTGTTGTATTGTATTGTTTGATTTGATGTAAACAAGTTAGAAACAACAGATTGATGTCTCTCACACAGCAAAGCATAATAACTTATATAGCGCATATTGTAAAGATCTCTATGCGCTTACATTATTACCCCCGGATCACTGGATCAAGCACATATGGGACACACACACTTAGGCCCCATGGAGGAATTCCATAATGCTGTATTCAGCGCAGGCTGTGTTTGAACCTACCAGGTACCCACTTGTACTCCTGGGTCTCTAAACAACGGTAGAAAAAGTGCCTTGCCCAAGGACACAAGTGACTTGCACAGCGAGAGTTCGAACCCCCAACCTCAAGGTTGGGAGTCCAGGCCACAACCGATGCGCCAACCACTTCTACAAAATATATATCACTTTTTAAACACTAATGATGATAATATTGTTACCATTCAAATTCTAACCTTAAGATATTTCACTAGTTTTTGTATCTGCCAATACTCAGAGGGTAAATCTGAGTTTTGTTCTTGTCTTCTATCTGGTGTATCCTCCTCTTCTTCACTTTCGGATGAACTGTCACTGTAAAATTCATCTTCAAGGGCTGGTGTTTTCTGTTTGCGATCACTGTAAAATATATAAAAACCATTACAAATACATAATTTTAGATATCAATAATAAGAATTTGATAAAGCAGCAATTATTGCAGCAGTTATGGCTTGGTACATTAATATTAATAAGAACATTTTTTGTATAAAAGAATTACAGTATTACAACAAAATTCTAGTGCCCACTACAATCAAGAAAGTCCTAATTATCTCCATATATGGCACGTCCACCATAAGTACATGAATATGATATACATGATTTAAGTACACGCTTAAAAGTATCTTACAACAGATATGACCAACCAACAAGCGCACAGCTTGTACTCAACCAAAATAAAGGGAAATCATGTAAGTTAGTATCAGAAGTTATAACTTCTGATACAAATCTCTAGTAGAAATATATATATTTATAGCAAGTAATATCCTATCCATGTTGCTATGTTAAATAGTATTTCATTACTTTGTCTGTCTTGACACCCTCTTCTCTGATTTTTCTCTTTTATCTCTCTCCCTTTTTTCACTGTTTTGTCTGTTCATTTCTTCATTTTTCCAGTTGAGTGTCGGTGCATTATTTCTACCAGCAGTCCGCTTCTTCTTTTTGGCTGTCTTTGAATGAAGAATAAAAAAAGAAATTCTTTTATTACAATTCATTACACATATTACAATATAACGTTTAGATTAGCAGTTAATAGTTAAAAGCAGATGTAATATAAATAACAGAAACATATAAACTGTGATCATGGAAACACTGGATTTGTACACAACTAAGAACATTAAGTCATCTGCAATCCAAGCTATCACTGCCAAATATGGCAATGAGAAAGCACCTTATACTAGACATTACTTTTAACACCAGGTACCATCATGGGATCTTGGTATTATGGGACATTTAGCTCATAATAACCATGTCTCTCAACAAATTATAAATGTTTTTGGTTGTGAGAATAATTCCTGATACAGTAGAAACCCTCAATTACGAACCCCGATTTAACGAATTCCCAATTTTACGAACGTAAAATCAAGGTGATGACGTCCTAAAAAGTAAAGTGAAAAAAAAAAAAAAATCTGCTCGAATTGTAACTGTTATTAGCATATATGCATACAACACAACATACCATACTATACAGTACTATGTAATTCTCAAGTGAAGGAGGCCTTCTAACGGGCCTCTTCAAATTCAATGTTTATTATGGCTTCATACATGTGCATGCGACAAATTTACTTCTCTTTTAATCATCGTTTTCAGCCTTTAAAATCAACATAGTGCTTGATTGTTTAATTGAATGATCAATATATATAATAAACAAGTATCTATGGAAGTTGTGTTGGAGTAAAATACACAATCTAGGTATTTAAGAAGGTAAAAACGTCTGAGTAAAAACAAATTTGTGTGGGCCTAGAGTGAGATCAGAATGCTTAGAAACTGCCTACTGTAGGCCTATGCCCTCTCAGACTTGGCTGCGTGGCCCTAGGCCTAGTTTATGCCAGTGTAAGAGTACCAGTGCAAATATATAGGAATTTGGGTTAACCCTGATTTTACGAATACCCGCAATTAGGAACGGCTCTGGGCCCGTGCCGTACGTAATTGAGGGGTTCTACTGTATTTAGTTTTACAGAATTTAAGACAGGCCCTTAGTCTTGGAAAGTGAAGGAAAGCACCTAACCATCCAAGTCACAGTTTCTATTACATTATGAAGTGTACCTGTTTGTGTGTCTTTTCAACCTTCTTCTCTTCCTTTTTCTCTTCCTGTCCTCTTTCTGTCACATCACCATCAAAGTCATCCTCATACGTTTCGATGTCTTCTTTCTTTTGTTCTTCCTTCAGTTCGAACTCTTTACTTGCAATTCTTTCAGCAAACTTTGGACTCTTAGATTTCAGGAGAGTAAGAAGGTCTTTGTGAACGTCTCCAACTCGTTCATAGCTTTGTTCATTAGATTCATCAATACCCTTCAATAGAAGTGTCAAATAATTAAGAAAACAAGCAGACCTGAAATATTTTGACAAACTGCTATCTTAAAAGTGTGTTTTCCACTATCGCATTTACAATTTTTTTTCTTCAGCGAAATCATTAGTCCAAACTGTTTCTAATTTTTGCGAAGCGAAAAAATGTGCAACCGATCATCAGCGTCGGTTTGCTCAATAAGCAAACAGTTGCTTTCGATTCGCGCAAATAAATTCACCTAGTGGAAAACGGCTTTATAGACGTACGGTCAGTTTTTTGTTGGTAGAATTGTACAGAGGCGGATCAAGTAGGGGCCCCTTCCCCCCGTTTTTGCCACTAAATTTTAAAATTTCAAGACATAGTGCTCTCACATGTATTCTAAATATGTTGTGCGCCTCCCCTCTTATACACATCTACTGCAATGGTTTAATTGAATACTCTGCTTTAGGAAATCTGCATAGAATGGAGTCAATGGTTTAATTGAATACTCTGCTTTAGGAAATCTGCATAGAATGGAGTTGTTATAACAACACCCTGGTTAAGCTGACCAGAGAATGCCTAGTCTACCAACCAAAATTTTAAAAAAACCCCACCCTTTGGCATGTGAATAGGCTGGGCCTGACCTCTGGACCAAAGATTTTCAGATCATGGCTAACCATTGAATCAGTCAAGTTGGTAAGGTGTTGGAGTCTCATTGACATGCCTTTGATTTTTTTCCATAATATTTTGAATATTTATAAAGCACTCTTACTCAGATGGTCTCACAGTGCTATTAGAGAAGAGATAATTGAAGATAATGATGTGATGACATCATAAATCATAATGATGTGATGACATCATCACACCCATATGGACAAATCACAGATACCTGTAAAAGAAAACTTGATATCGTGGACAAAGCTTTAGTGGGATTTTCAACTCTATTTCTACCCCTCCTGTTTCACTCCTACACTTTTGGAGTCCTTTGGTGGTCATATACCCACCAGAACCAGAACATGACAAACCTTGTTCATGTAAACACCGGCAGTGTTGGCAGTCACGGTAAGCTGGTCACCATCGAGGGGCATGATGTCAAGACAGCAGATGTCACCATGAACCTGTCTCCAAGGTGGGGCCCGGCAACCATTATCGAAGATGTAGTCTGTTGTGAATGCTATTGACTGCAGGACACTTCCACTGTCATTGCCACAGAAACGCTTCAGAAGAGCTACCTCGCTGTTCACTTGTTGCGGAGTTAGGCGTACTTCTCTGTAAAAGAAAAATTTATGAATTTAATAGTGTTTTATTTAATTTTTTAATTGACTTACAATGAGGTACACAATGGTTACAATTTGTTCATGGATAAATATGTAGGGATAATATTTGGTGTGAATACTCAGGCTAACATAGAGGAACTGGGGTTATAAATGTTGTAAGCAAGTTACTAGAGACAACATGGTGTGTACACCAAGAGAAAATCCCCTAAATTAATTAATAATTAGTGTAAAAGAATGCTCTAGAGCTTGGTTTCCATAAAATCATTACACTGTCATGTTTTCACTGCAATTTTTGTACTGCAACTAAAAAAAGTTTCTGCTAACTGTAAACATTTTTAAGTGGTTCAAACTTGCTGATTTTTACTCCGAGGAGTTTATTTGCGCTTTGCTTAGCTGTTTTTTTCCCCTTGCTACTGGGTGTCCATCAACCCATCGGCGTTAAGATCACCAAAAGGGTGGCCGATCGACCGGATGTTGTACCCAGGACACTATAATTTTAAACTACAGTTAAATACGCTTAAATACACTAACTACTTAACTAACTAAATAAGGCTTACTAATATTTAAAAATAAATTACTAATTTTAAAATTGTATAATCAACTACTATAATAAGACTTACTGTGAAATATGCTTGAGGGACTGGTTCATAAGTTGCATGTCAACTTGCTGAATCAGAAGCAAAAGTCGCAGTTTACTCTCAAGTTCATCTCCTTCATCTCCGCTTTCTTTCTTTGTCTGTTCAAGGAGACGAAGCGTGGAATTGTCCTCTCCTTCAGTGGTGGCAAATCCATCTCCCAACATCTTGGCAATTGGATCAGTATTGGCTATAAATGTAAAATGAAAATGATAACTTATATAAATTGCATGCTATAACTGTTTTATAACATACCATATTTATTCGAATAAACACCTTGCTTGAATAAATGCCTGCCCCCACCCCTCAAATAAACGCTCCGTCCAGAGCCTCATTTGGAATAATCGCCTCCCTCGAATAAATGCACCTGGGTGTTTATTTTATACTCTAATAAATGCCCCCCTTCCCACAAAATTACTGTAAACAAAAATAATGGAAGCAACATCATTCTCAACATATTCAACGTAGAATTAAATTTTTTCTAACCTGGTTGGGATTAAAAAGTCATTAGCATCACACAATAACACATTTTGACAGTAAATTATATTGATTTACACTTTTTGTCTTTAGACTTTTAAAGCCCTAGATATTTGTCACAGTGAATTTATTACTTTTAGGGCTGCAGTGAATTACATGTCTGAATATATAATATATTATTATTATATAAATATTATTTAGCTGAAATACCAAAACTAAATTTATTAACAAACTTAAAAATGTCCACCCTTCAACTGAATTTTTCAAAATCAAATTTCATTATCTACAGCAAACTACCAAAGCATACCTTCAAGGATAGCTCTTGCTTCCCGCATCTTCATTTCTCCAGCCACTTTCAGAACATTACAAAGCTGGTTGAAGCAGTGAACTTTCAGGTCGTAGTTCAATTCACCGAGTTTACGCATAGTCAGAAGCGGCTGATCATTTTTATCTTTGGCTTCAGAAGTAACAGCATCATTACTACAAGAGAGGAGAAAAATAATTCAACTATTCAATTTTTAGTTCTAGGCTAGAGAATAGCAATATTACCTTTTTAATTTAATTATTAATCAGCCTTATGGGCCATTCGGCCTGAAGAGGATAGGTAGGTAGGTAATTTAATTATATTCACTTGCTGTTGAATGAGATTAAAAGTAAGTTTTTTAAAAAATAGCAGTATTATCTTAATTTATTATTAATCTTATTCAACAGCAAGTGACTCACAACATGCAAGATACTAATGCTCTTTAAACAAGGTCTCATTATACGGGTATTATAGTCGCTAATCCACAATGGGTCCCAGAGGGAAGTCTCCCGAGACTACAACTTTATAAAGATGCAGTATTTAGATGCTTAATTTAAATGATTATACATCTAAAATCCAAATTATACATCCAAAAAAATGTAATTTATTACTCTTTTGATTTTCATCCTATTGTTTTGTTTTTGAGGTAGCTAGTGGCTTGAGTTTTAACAGGAAATATACCCAACTCGCATGGGTCGAGGGCTCGCATAGGGCCTGATAAATTTTGGGCTTAGATGCTCTCTGGTGTAGTCTGAAATAGATCTCCATAGCTCAAATAGAAATGACATAATGTATAGCGCCATCAGTGTTAGTATCCTACTTGGATAAAATGCATGCGTAACTCTATTGTTTACTTCTCTGATCGATCCATTTCGCAAAGCAATTGTACCTAGAATAGGAAGAGTAGAATATTCAATGATTGTAGACCTGATAAACTATAGAACTGCGAAGGTTTCGAGTATTTCGATTAAAAGTTGGGTTTAATAAAATAAAGCTTCAGATTAGTGGAAAAGCGTGAGATTTTATGTGAGTGGCTTGGGAGCTTGAGGTTTGGTCAAAAAGTGTGGCTGGTAGGTATGGATATGAATTGGGTCCCCCTAACATTAATTCTGTAAAAGTCCCGATCCCTGGGCCCCCTCCATTTTGAATTCCTGTATATGCTACTGCCTACTGTAAAAGATCAAAGTACTGTACCTTGTTTCATAGCCTGATCCAAAAGCTGTAGGTTCAAGCACTGTCTTCCACTGAAGTGGTGACTTGAACACTATTGCTGCTTCAGCAGGATGCTTTGCAGGAAAACCTTCAACATACTTGATGATGCTGTTCAAGAGAGCCTCGTTGACAGGTGAAAATTCAAGGCGTCCTTGACCGCCGTCACTTACAGATGTCCACTGGGCGGCACGGGTGAGTGTCTGACCCATGGTGCAATGTTATGCGTTATGTGTATTTCCTAGACAGAAAAAATTAGGGTTTTAAATAATATTTAAAAACATTTCTGTGAAAAAAAAATAATTGTGTGATAAAACCAATGAATTAACTTTAATTTTCAGAAATTAATGACAAATATTTCTGTCCAGATCGTACATGTTTTTAGTTATTTGAGTGCAGAATCATAACTACTGCACAACACACAGTACTGGTTATATTAAGATTAGGTCAAAGCCTAATTTTTGGCAAAAATCTATGCGGAAATCGGGCCTTATTTTCTGAAATACGCAGTGGCATTTCTAGGCCCAATTTTTGCAATCAGGATATAATTATTCCCTGCGCAGGCTTTATTTTACAGTCTGGTAGTTCGCCCTCTGCTTTTCATCAGTCAGAATGTATAGTCTAAACCATCAAACACAGGTCTCAAAAAGTAGAATTCATAAGAATTTATTTATTTTTCATTGCAAGTCATCTGTTCTGATCTGTTACTAAGGAAGTGTATGACGATTCATTTACAATGGGGTATAGTTTTACCTGTAGTTAATAGTTGAGTCGATCTTAACTTTTAACTTATTATTGTATGGGCTTCATGGGAAAATCTTTGCTTGTTTATGAATGCCCCTTTCAATTTCAATTCATCATGTTACCCAACTAAAGACTAAGGATGTTGTTGTTTCTGTAATAGTGAAAACGTCGGTAAATATGTTTGAATGAATAAATAAAAATGTTATTTTGTGATGATTGACTATCAATACAACAATACAAGCTTAGGCCTAGAAAAATAGTGGATAGTTAATTTTGTGGCGAGTGCTAGTTTTAGCAGGCATCCTCTATGTTTTGGCATAGGCCTAGTAGTATTGTACGTTGTCAAGTGTGTTCATTCACAGGGGTATTATAGTTTATTACAATATTCCCATGGTTAATTCTTCAAGGCAATTGAACAACAATTGCCTTGGTTCATTCAACAAATGATGTGAGTAAAACGAAGAGAACAAAAATACTTACAGCTCATAATATCACTTTTATTTGTAAAGTTAATGATGATTTAATAATTAATTTAATGAATAAAGTACATACTATTGTAGAAAATTGAATTACGCATAATAAAAAAAAAATTATAACTAAAATTATGAGTGCAGTGGTGAGCTTAGGTACCGCAGCTTACTGTAGTTCGATGCTAAATTTCGAGTGCGGAAAGTTGAACTCACGTCAACGTACTTAACCAGAATCGATAAATTTATGTGACCGCTATGCAAGTTTATTAAAGTAAGACTGCGCATGCATTATTTATTTCACGTATATATATCATTTAATGATTTGTTTATAGTCACATATATATAATAAATATAGGCCTATGAGTATATCTAGACTAGTAGCAGAGTACTAGAAATTGCAAATTGCAAGTGAAGTGATGCGAAGTACACCTGCATATAAATGTTCTTCGAACAAAATTATTTATGCGAGTCAAGTGAAAATAATGAGTAATAAAAATATAACAAATAATATGAGACACGACCCATTGTCTATATTAGAACACTTCTCATTGGGTAACAAAGTCGTAATTTTTCATTTTTGTCAAAAAGTGTCTATAGTGGTGAATTAGGTTTTTTTTCATAAAGTTCCAAAAATCAAAGGTTACAATCTTTATTTTGAAGACTGCATGGTCTAGGAAGTGTACATTTTTTTATGGGGCAAGTTTCCAAGGGCGGGTTTTCTAGGGGCAAGTTGACTGCCAAGTGTTGCCAAAGTGCGAGCCAGCGTGTTATTTGATCACAAGTACGAGACATCGTAAGTGTGAGCCAGCGAGCCATGACGTCACGACAATAGATACGAAACTTTACTCAAGTTGTGCGAGGTATTGGCTGAGATTTGTGTGAGTACAATTCAAAAAACAACTATAGGTCTAATAATGAATTACTGTGATGTTAAATAGACAATGTTAGCTATCAAGGAGCGACGTTGTTTTTCATTGGGACCTTCGTTGTTTCAAGGCTAGGCCTATACCATCCTAGCTGGTCTAGGCCTAGAGTAGGCATGACGTTTTTACAAACGGGGGTACGCTCTCTTGTTCTAGGCTAGGGCCTAGGCCTATCTATCATTCTATATCTTGATCTTGATAGGGTAATTGAAAAACTTCGGCTGGAGTATCACTCAATGTTTGAATAGTGGCGACAGACTCTTTGCAATGCTAGTATACTGCAGAGCTAGACACACGAAGATAGCTCTATCTAGATATGTTAGAAGAGTGACGTCACGCACTGTTATGGTTTTCGCGACGCCGATGCTGATTGTTTTGGTTCTGCTTGTATCCAGATTAGAAATAATTGTATTCAATCGTTTATTGGTTGCATTCGCTAACCTTTGAACTTATTTACAAAGTAAACAGGTCAAAGTTTACTTGCGCTTTTTAAAAATATTTTTTTTGTAAGCACTGTAAATTATAAAAATCATCCTGTAATTTTAAGAATTATATATTTAATATCTATACCAAGTATGAATTAGATCTGATGCTTCTCAACAATTTGTTTGATTTTCTCAAATCTTACGACTCTCGAGTCCGAAGCATAAAAATGTCCGCTGATCGAAAGATGTACACACTACATTGGAGGACGGCATATTTGTTAATAAATTTACACATAAAGTCTGTATTACTGATGAATATGTCCAATATAAATAATCATTGCTTACTATTATATAATAAAATATTTTTAAAGATTTTGATTTATTATAATGATGTTTTGCGAATAATATACCCGTGTATAATTGAGAATTCCGTCACGAAATTGCATATGGCGTCTTATTAGGCAATTCTGGCCTGTAATTGGTCTGTATAGATCACGTGACATTGAATTTGAAATTTGATTGGATGATATGTGTTGTTGACAGGAATATAGAGCACAAACATCCTGGTGTTGCATAGGCCTACATTAATAGTTTTTAAACAATTAAAAATAATAATACCCCTGTAGTAATAATAACTTAGTCAAATAATGCATGTATAGAGTTTATTAATTTATTACAAATTATTAGATCAAAGCAATAAACAGTATCTAATTGATTTTTAATTTTTTTTTTTTTTTCAAAGTATACACAATGAGAATTAATTGACAAATTAGTAAAAAGGTCACAAACTTTACATACGCCTGTAGCCCAATTTTCACCATAATTAAATATTTTTAAAAATCATTAAAAATCAACCATACTACCAAATTTAAATTTGTAAACGTTTTTAATGTTATAACACTTGATAGATTTTGTGATATCAGTATTGTGGACATCCAATCAAATTTAATTTTTTTTTAACATAGGGGCCTAACTAGGCCTAGCTACTTTTTCCCACTCTCTAGCCTATAGACCACTCTAAAATAAAAGGAGCCAATCTCTACATACATGGGCACTGTGCCGTGATTAGTCCGTCTGTTAGCCTAGCAAGGCCTAGGACTAGCCTAGGCCCTAGGAGGCCCCATCCTAGCTAGCTTGCCTACAGACAGGCTAGAGGCCCTACCTAGGCCTACTAGGCCTAGGCTAGTTAGGTAGGCCTAGGCCTATGTATGCCTAGGCCTCCTCCTAGTCACCTCTCTCTGCCTGCTATGTATGCTTTAAAAATCATCGCTTAAATTAATGAATTTGATACTTCCTTATATACAGGTTATTTCTTATAAAATACATCATATGTCTTACCTTTAGAAGCTTAATAAATTTATAAGAAAATACAATAGGCCTATTATTTGCTATAAACACCAAGCACTTGCATTTGATTTGTTTTCCTTTTGATTCTCAGCTCTCCCGTCAAAATACTGGTTGCTAAGTAACTCAAAAACGCGCATGCGTACATATAGGTACTAGAATTCTTCACTGCCGTTGTAATTTAGATACGGACTCTAACTTTAACCATTAAAGTTGTCGTATGTATAATATTTAAACAGAAGATCATATTTTCCTCTTTATATTACATCACAAATAAACTTAGGCAGGTGAATTTGCGATTCATTCATGTGAACGAATTTATATTCTCGCTGTGTAGACATGATAGTGACCGTCTCAATCAAGACTATCAATACTTTCATCGTTGGGGGCGCAAAACAAAAAAGTTAGTTGCGCGTCTCGTAACCAGGAAGCTGCTAGGGCAGTACCATGCCAATGAGTTCCTACGAGACAGGATCAGTTTACAAAACAAACAACTCCGGTTATTTTGGTCAACAAAAGTGTTTAACAGTAACACTTTCAATTTTTGTGCTTCCATTTTTCACACAGGAAAAATAGGCCTATATTGAATTGCAATAGTTTAAGTTATTTTCATCAAGCAAAGATCAGGTGGAGAATTTGGGAGATTATTTTGTTTTGTAATAT